GCGGGATAATATCGGGGGGTAGCTCTCGGGGTCGCGCCAGCCGGCCTCACCCTGGCCCAGCACAGCCATGGCGCATACTAATGCACTCTCATATTCATGGCTGCGATGGCGCTGGTTGAGCAGCTCAATGCAAAATTCTAAGCATGCTTTTTCTATAGCAGTCATGGCCCATGCCTCTAGGTCCCCTGGCACTGCGGCCTGGCTGCCCTGGCTGCCTGGGGCCTGGCTAGCGAGCTGCCATAGCTGCCGCCATTTCTGGCGCTGCCGTGCGGTCATCCCATATCGGGGGCTGGCCCAGTCATGCGGGGCCTGGGTCCGGGCAATAAATGCTAATATCTGCTGCCATGGCTGCACATGCTTCTTGATCACGGCCTCATCTATATATGCCAGCAGTGGCCGGTGCGGGGTCTGCCCCTTTTCAGACCGGACGGCTTCCACCCGGATGGCCTGGCCGCAATGCTGGACCGTCCGCTGGCTCTTGCGGGCCACCTGCTCCATAGTATCCCAGATCACCTGCACCCCCTGCTCAGTGGCATCCATGGGGTCTTCCTCCGGGGCTGCCATGCTAGCAAGCAGGTCACGTGCCTGGATGCCCTGCAGGTAGTCAGCCCACCGAGTCATCCGCAGCCAGGGGTTCGCGTCAGTCAACTGGCTGGCTTGGATGGCCTGATCGGCCTTGGCCTGGGCCTGGACCTGCTCCCATGCCTGGATCACGGCATCAACGGTGGCCTGGATGTGGGCAGTGGGTGCGGTCCGGGCTTGCTCCTCAGGCTGCTGGTTGGGGCATGGCACCCAGATATAATGGGACCCTTTTCGGGATGGGAAAAACCGCTGGCAGGTCACCACCTGATATCCCTGCTGGATGGTGATCTGCGCCTGTTCCTGCTCTTGCAGGCGTGATCGACCTCCATGATATGGTGCAGTCCATCCATGGTGCTCACGCCAATGTCGTTTTAACGTGTCAAGTGAACGAGTGATGAATTGGCATCTGGCCTGGTCGCGCTGGCACAGTAACCCATCAGGGTATTCATCCAGGTGGGGGATTGACTGGGTAATCCGACTAGGCCATTGCACAGCATGGGGGTCATGCTCCACACCCTCCCAGCTCTGGACGTCCTGATGGATCTGCTTTGCAGTGGCCTGGGGTAATCGATGGGCCTTCCCCCAGAGATGGCTTTCTACCTCAGCTAGCCACACCCCATGGCGGCAGGACCGGCAGATAATGACTGGTGGCTGGGAAAGCTTAATAAATAACTGCTGTTCCATTCTTAATGGCTCATTTGGATGAATATAATACTATTTAACTGATTATCTGAATGATGATGGGATTCAGCCCCTGAATGTTTGATTTGTGGGCATTGCTTTTTCTATCCGCAGGAACTCAAACCACACCAACTCCTGGGGGTCAAATATGCCCTCACCATGTCTGCAAATCATTGATTTTGATACTGAAATTTGGCTGGATTACTTGGAACTAGTATATCAGTGAGCTGGCTAAATTTAAACTGCCTCCAACCTCCCCTGGAGCCATGGTGGTGGTCATGGGCAGTGCTTTCCAGATTCTCACTGTTTGGCGGCAACTCAAACCACATCAAAATTCCGTACATTAACCACACCCTTACTACAGCTGCAAATCATCGAATTCCCAATTGAAATTTGGTCAGATTATGTGAAACCAGCTAACCAGTAACCTGCCAAAATTTGAAATGCATACGACTCTATCTGGCGCGACGATTGTACCCCAGACGGTTTCGTTGGTCCCTACCCCCATACCCCGGCCGCTAAACCGCTCTGGGCTAAACCCTAGCTTGGTGTCAAGTACAGTCGCCGCCCCCTGTGGGATAGGGGCAATGCGGGCACCCATGGCCCTGGTACACTGGCAGACCTGGCACCGGGGGGTCCCCCGCGGAGGGCTGGGTTAAGGGCCCCCGGCTTGGGTCCACCCATGGCCGCTGGAGCATCTGGGTCAGCACCGCCTGACAGAGGGCCGGTGTGGCCACGGTGGGATGGGACCGGTGGTGGGTGCGGAGGTGACCCAGCAAGGTCTCAGGGGAGACCACATACTGGCAGCGAGGGCCGGTGCAGATCCAGACCTGGTAGGTGGGGTTGTAGAGAAACAGGTCCATGTTAGAGATACTATTAATACTGGGCTGAGAGGCAAATCCAGAAGAAGTAGATGGGGATATTTATTTATAATATAATATAAAGATAAGGATGATACTTCTTTGTTTCCCATCCATCACTGTGACAAGGCGCGACATTAGGGGAATTCAATTCAAAATAAAAACGCGACGCGCGCCTTATTATTACCTAAGGTGGAAAGAAAAAGAAATTATATGTCTAGGATCAGGATCCTTTTATGACTAAAACAGGGTGTGATTGATCCTGATCTTGCGTGCTGATTGAGAGAGGAACTGGGGGCGTGCCCCTAATAGGGAGGAGTTCATAGGTTGGCCAGGGGAGGAAGCCAGCGGCAAAGGGTAATGGATAATAGATATGTATGGGCACGCACCCAGTAGGGGGACAGGAGCACGCACCATCAATATGGATGGGTGAGGGCCCAACCGACCAATGAGTGGGCGGAGAAACAGGACCGTACATAGGGTCGTTCATCCCCTGGGGAACAGGGTCGCCGCCCCCTGTGGGATAGAAAAGCTCCTGGCTTCGCACTTACATCGGCATTGCAGCATTGGTAATGCGTTAGCGAAGGATCTTGTGCTCTTGCCGCCGTTCTGCCGTACGTGACGTAAGGGAAACAACATGTAAGGAAGCCTGTTATTAAACAAGGTTTTAACACCACCACCCAGACAATCCGAACCAAACGAATAACGGCTTTCACACTCCTTGAGGGTCTTACTTACATAGGTTCCCTGGGCTGAAGCAGTCAAATAGCGAAGTGCTCCATTTCTTTCGATCATAAGCTGTACACGTGGCCGATGCGGGCCCAGCCGCTGGAATCTGTCCATATGCTGGGGGCACTGGGTCTCTGAGGTTCGGTTTGGACGACATGAGGGAAGTCGAAATGACAAGACTAATTTAGAGATGGAAAGAAAGGATCAAGCCAAATTTATAGAGAGGCCAATTCAACTGAAAAAACGTGAGAATATAGTTTCTGAAGAACACTAGCTTAACCTGATGATTTGCCCCTCTCCAGACAACAAAGGTCTGCTCTACGTCTCCAACATTATGAAGATCCCAAGAGCTATTCCATATGAGGAAGTCCGTATTCGTAGCAGCAATAAGCTTTTCATGGTGGAGCTAAAGTATGTTAACTGCCACTGAATGGACCCACTTTCAGTGGCACCTATACAAGACGTCCCCTGTCGGCAAGGCACTTGGCACAGTTTTCCCTGCCGTGTGCCCGCCCTCACGACCCAGTATATCTTGTATCGGAGTTTGTTCAATCCCATTAGTGGCGGGGAAGAAGATGAATGTGGCAATGGCTGACATGGCTAGGCCATTTTCAGTAATTCGCATTCGCATTCGTCTGTGTACCTATTCTGCTTTGTGGATCCCTGCCTGCGTGTACGTCATGTTGGCTATGCCAGGAGAAAGAATTTTCCCATGGACAGTAACGACCATATATATATATATGTATATCCACAGGAAAGACTGTGCGACTCAGAGTATGATAACCACCACTAGTTGTTATTCCATTTTATATTAACTACGATGGTACTTTTTTGTTTGACGGTTCTCCTTGGAGCGGCTTTTCGTATTATCGAAGCAGCTTCCCTGCCAATTGTTGACCTAGGATATGAGCTACACCAGGCGAGCTCATTCAATGTAAGTATTCATGAAGAAATGACAACGCCTATTGCGATCATTCCAGGAGAGTATTTAACTGCTTTCCAGAATGAACATGGTTGGTACAACTTCAGCAACATTCGATATGCTGCCCCGCCTCTGGGTCAACTTCGCTTTCGGCCACCTGTACCACCCATGACAGATCGGTCTGAAATCCAGACAGGAAATGTAGGCAGAGTATGTCCTCAGGTAGAGATGCCCCAGTGGGCTACTACTGCTTATGCCTTTATCGTAAAGACATTATATGGATACACGTTGAATGCCAGTGATTCAGAGTTCTCCATTATCAACGGGCCGGGAGTTCACGATGGCCGAATCACTGAAGACTGTCTGTTCCTGGATGTCATTGTCCCCAAGAAGATATACGAAAGAAGAAGGCAAAACTGTACAACAAAAGCTTTAGCTCCGGTTCTGGTCAGTATTTACGGTGGTGGATATGTGATGGGAGACAAAAACACCATCGATCCAACTGGGCTTATGAAGCGCAGCATGCAAGAGGATGATGGGTTTATTTGGGTTTCCTTTAATTACAGGGTGAGTCGGGCTTCCAGGTAGATATTTTCCTACTCGACTCATTCATGCGGCAGGTTGGGGCATTTGGATGGCTTGCCAGTGACGCCACCACAGAACATGGAGTTGCCAATGCTGGCTTGCATGACCAACGCCTTGCTCTTGAATGGGTGCAAAACAATATCCATCTCTTTGGTGGTGATGCGAACCAGGTCACTGTTATTGGACAGTCTGCAGGAGGCGGATCCATTATTCATCAGATAGTTGCGTACGGAGGCAGTGTGCCAGGAACCTTCCAGAAAGCTATCGTTCAGAGCCCTGGGCTGTCTTTTACCACTGGAGAGCAGCAAAATGAGACGGCAAACCAACTCCTGCGCATTCTGAATGTCAGTTCCATCGAAGAAGCCCGCCAACTGCCTACCGAGAGCCTCATCGCTGCGAATTCGTATCAGATCACGAATCTTTCTACCTTTGGTTCATTCTCCTATGGCCCTGTGACTGATGGTAGATTTGCACCAGACATCCCTGCTCGCCTTCTCACAGATGGTCGATTCAACAAAAATATTCGATTAATTGTGGGCCATAACGCGGATGAGGGTTTGTTCATTACAGCTCCCGAGACGAGCAACAGCAGCGTTCTGACTACACTTGTCGGCGAGGCCTTCCCGAACTTTGGCTCCAATCTTACCAACCATATTACCAATAACCTCTATCCTCCTGTTTACAACGGGTCCTACGGCTACAACAGTCCTCTGTGGAGAGCAGACTTACTGTTTTCTGAGGCCTACTTTACATGCAGCACCAACGCCCTTAGTAGAGCCCTACCGAATCAGACCTACCCTTACATATTTAGTGTCTATCCAGCGCTCCACAGCATGGATTCTTCATATGTTTGGTACGATGGGTCAAGCTCAGCAGTTGGAAATGCAACGATCGCATACATAATGCAGGATTATATTGTCAATTTTATTAAAGGTGGAACTCCTCTGTCTACCATTGGCCCTCCCTTCAGACCATGGAGTGTGAGCGGTTCCGTGCTGGATATTAACACATCCGGTGTCACTGAGATGAAGGATCCTACTGATAATGATCACTGCCGTTTCTGGCAGCGAGCCCCGTACTAGGTGGCGGCATGCAAGTTACAGGTTCTACACTCTTGCTTCTAAAGAAAACTAAGAGGTTTTCCTGTCCAATACACTTGGGTTCATGCGGAGCGTTCCAATAGCTCCGCCTATTGCTCTGAACGGTGTGCACATCCATGCCTGTCTTTCTATTCCTTTTGTTTCAGCTAATTACCATTCCTTTCCTTGGATTTCATTCTGTACTTAGATGTGCTATTTGTGTTATTCACAGGTTGACTCCTGCCAGCTTATCCAATCAATCTTTTGTGCACCATAGTTTCTGTTATCGTGTTCCAGAAACTGGAATCTGACAGGGATGCTCGTGGACGCTTTGAGATATAAGGAGCCAAAGCAAAAAAAAAAAAAAAAAAAAAAAAAAAAAAAAAAAAAAAAAAAAAAAAAAAAAAATTTTTTTTTTTTTTTTTTTTTTTTTTTTTTTTAAATAAATAAAAAAAAATAGGGGCGGAAAAAAGGAAATAAAAAAAAGGGAAA